TTCCCTTTTAGGACTACCTGTCCCTATATCTTCCCTCTTCTAGTTTCTGCTGTCTATGAATGTTTATAGAGCATAAACTATCTAATTTAATAATGTCTTCAACCAGTTCTACCGGGTGCTAAAACCCTAAACCCCTGTCTCTTATACACATCTAGATGTGTATAAGAGACAGGTCCTCGTCCCAGCAGGAGGAGGAGGAGGAGGAGGAGGAGGAGGAGGAGGAGGAGGAGGAGGAGGAGGAGGAGGAGGAGGAGAAGGAGGAGGAGGAGGAGGAGGAGGAGGAGGAGGAGGAGAAGGAGGAGAAGGACTAGCAGGCCTAGGAGGAGAAGGAGGAGGAGGAGGTGGAGAAGGAGAAGATGAGGAGGAGGAGGTGGAGGACTAGGAGGAGGAGGAAGATGAGGAGAAGGAGGAGGAGGAGGGGGGGAGCCGGAGGATGAGGAGTACAGAGAAGAGGAGGAGGAGGAGAACAATGACGACCAAGAATAAGAAGACGAGGAGGAGGAGGAGGAGGAGGAAGAAGAAGAGGAGGACAAGGACGAGGAGGAGGAGAAGGACGGCGATGAAGAAGAAGAAGAGGAGGAGGAGGAGGACAACGGCGATGGTCGATGCCGACAAGGAGGAGGTGGAGTACTAGGAGGAGGAAGAAGATGAGGAGAAGGAGGAGGAGGAGGAAGTTGACAGAAAGGAGGAGGAGGATGAGAAGGAGATGGAGGGAAAGGAGGAAGAGGAGGATGAGGAAGAGGAGGGAAAGGAGGAGGAGGAGGAGAGAGATGAGAGAGACATAGAGGAGGAGGAGGGTACACACCTGCACGGGGGTTGGAGGACACATCGGGTTGTGGCGCAATGGCAACGCGGTAACGTCCGACTCCCACCACGTGCCCAAGTCGCGCGCAGGAGGAAGGCAGTACACAACAGAATTCGAATTTGGATTGGGCCTGATCTGGGCCGTAGATGTCTTAGATCTAACGGCCGAGAGCGGACCATTTTCGTTTTCGAATTCGGAGGCCCTACCGGCCTCACGAAAATGGCACGTCCTTCCCGGGGGTATATCATACCTGAAATCACACCCCCGCAGGCCCAAAAGCCTTCAACTCCCCAACAAGGATTTTTCCACCAGCCCGGACACCAGGCCCAGGTCGGACGACCGGGGGAGTTGTCCAATCGGACAACCCGAATCCAAAAAGGGTCCCGGACATCCGACCTGGCAACCTAGAAAAAGGCTCAAAAAGGTAGTTGAGTTTTTTTTTTTTTTTTTTTTTTTTTTTTT